ATGGATGCTCCATGGGCACTGGGCAGTGGATCCTGAGGTATTGCCCACGTGGGTTGTCCACGCTCCATGGGCGCTTAGTGGTGCTGTCCGTGTGTGCCGGGCAGTGATCCCTGGTCACTGGGTGCTGTCCATGGATGCTGGGGGATTCTCCATGCTCCCTGGGTGCTGTCCGTGTGTGCCGGGCAGTGATCCCTGGTCACTGGGTGCTGTCCTTGTGTCCCCAGAGGGCTCCGTGCAGTGGTGCCGCAGCCACTGGGCAAGTGCCCCTGCGGGACCCCGTGCCCGCTGGGGATGCATCCCTGCCACCTGGGGGTCCCGCAGTGTCCCCAGCTCGGGGTGCCTGGGCAGTAGGGTGTCCCTGTGCCACCCGGAGCGGTGTCACCCATCGCCATGCCCCGGGACACGTTGAGTGTGCCACATCCCCTGAGTGTGCCACGTCCCCTGAATGTGCCACGTCCCCGCAGTCCCCGGCAGCACCACGGTGCTGGTGGAGCTGACCCCCGACATCCACATCTGCGGCATCTGCAAGCAGCAGTTCAACAACCTGGACGCCTTCGTGGGGCACAAGCAGAGCGGCTGCCAGCTCACCAGTGCCACGGCTGGCGCCACCAGCACCGTCCAGTTCGTGTCCGAGGAGACCGTGCCAAGCACACAGGCTCAGAGCACGAGCAGGACCATCGCCTCCGAGACACAAACCATCACAGGTACCCCCAAACCATCACAGGTACCCCCAAACCATCACAGGTATCCAACCATCACAGGTACCCCCAAACCATCACAGGTATCCAACCATCACAGGTACCCCCAAACCATCACAGGTACCCAAATCATCACAGACACCACCATGTCACCTGCCAGGTGCCAGCCCTCTGTCCCTGTGTCCCCATCACCAGCTGAAAGAACATTTTCACATCAGTTGTCGTGTAACCTAGGAAATGAAATAGTCCTGTGCTGCCTTCTTGGGTTTGTCCTAACAACAGTTGCTTAATTTGCTAATTGAGGTATAAGTTCTCTCAGAGAATTGCTCAAGTCTGATCTGTTGTGGAACCAGCTTGTGCAAATTAATTAAAATTGTCGATACTTATGAAAAATACTGAATTTACTATGCATTTTAATTTTTTTAAGAGTGCTCTAGATGGAAAACACACACAGAATTGCTATCAGGCACCCATCCAGACCTTTTTATGTGAGAACACTACATCCCCTAACATTGCTCCCACAACTAATTAGCAGGAAAAATATGATTCAAAATTTCTGCCTTTGTGAAGACTCGAGTGAGATCCTGATCCTGGAGACATTTAAATAAAATTGGGATCTTGTTCCGTGTGTGAAGGTTTGCTCTTCTATATATAGTTTTGTTTTATTTTGGTGTGGGACCTTACTAAACCCCAACTTATTTGACTCTAATTTGGATAGACAGGTTAAGGCAGGGAATTTGGAAGAGCAGTGAAACAAACTGAATTCAGGGCCCACTTCCAGGAATTTTTGTATTATAATCCCTCAACTCAGTGTGGGTTTTGGGCGAGTCATTTTTCTGCTTCATATTTACTCATCTTTAAAATGAGGACAGTTCTACCCATTTGCCCTTTTGGGCCAAAGTGTTGCTCAATTGATTTAAAAGCTGCTACTTTGGCTGAGATATTTTCGCCTGTTATTCTTGTGAGTAACAGCTAAAAAGAGTAGAGTTGAAAGAGGCTGAACTTTTTCAACAATACAAAAATAATTTGTGTGATGCCTTTTGACAACATTTGCCATATAAATAATGATTTTTTTTCTCTCATTTGGGCTATAACACAGAATTGAAAAACAAATATATCTTTATTTGGTATTTGGAAGAGAAAAACCTTTTTCCTTTCCTCCTCCCCCAGGTAAATAGAGACAGAAATGTTGCTGGGAAAAAAACAGAATAGAGAATTCATGAAACTAGACAATAATTAGATTTTTTTTATCTGATTAGAGAAGTTAGTGCTGTCGCATGAAGTGTTATGTGTGTTTAGTCTCTGCCCCAGAGTTTGTTTTTGAGCATGGCTACCAAACCTACCTGCCCAGCGAGAGCACGGAGCCTCCAGCTGCTGCTGTCGTCTCCACACCACCAAAAGCGAGGCCCAAGAAATCCTCCTCCTCCGTGCCCCTGAAGAAACTCAGCTGCCTGTACCCAGGTGAGATGGGATTGTTCCTTCTTTTCCATTTCAACGTGCACAGCTTTCCTCTAGTGGCACACAGGAGATTTGGTGCCTGCAGCAGCTCTGGAGTGACTTGCCTCTAAGAGGAAGCGTTAGAAATCTCAAATTCACAGGTGAGCTGGTCACTGTTTGAAGCAGATGTGAGTGAACAAGATGAGGAATTAACTTCCTGTTAACAGTGAATTTTAAAGACAGTGCTGTTGAAAATAAACATGTCCAGAATATGCTAATGTATTTTTATTATTTGGCTAGATTTTCCTTGAATTTAATGATTTTTATCCTTCTGTTTTCAGGGTGCCAGTTCAAGACTTCCTATGGTATGAAGGATTTGGAACGTCATCGGCGAACGCACACAGGTTTATGTTCCTGTATTTTCTTTTGGGTTGGCTTCCCCCTTTCAGCTTTTCACAAAAGCCCTTTTCCTATGAAGTAATGTCTCTATAAGCAGGATGTAGAGCTGTCTGTACTTTCTAGCAGTGTCCTGAGGAATTGCCTGTTGGGGACATGCCCTGTTAGGCACGGCTGAGGCACTGGAACACTGGAGGTTGATTGGAGGCACAGTTTAACTTCTGAGTGTACACCATGAGTTTATCAGGGTGCAGTGCGGTGGCAGTGCACACACCTGCTGTGCTTTACATTAAAGCAGTTCCATGATTTAGCTCCCAATTTCGGAGCTGCAAAGGGACAAGGCTCCAAAGGCTCTGCTGTCTGTGGCAGCTCTGCTGTCTGTGGCAGCTCTGCCTGCAGCCCCACAGACGAGTCCCCTTCCTGGTGAGCATTCCGTGTGTGCTGTGTGCTTTCCACACGCCCTGCCCACGCCAGGGCTGAGCGTGCGGGTGCTGCCGTTGCAGGAGACAAGCCCCACAAGTGCGAGGTGTGCGGGAAGTGCTTCAGCCGCAAGGACAAGCTGAAGATGCACACGCGCTCGCACACGGGCGTGAAGCCCTACAAGTGCAAGCACTGCGAGTACGCGGCGGCCGACAGCAGCAGCCTCAACAAGCACCAGCGCATCCACTCCAACGAGCGCCCCTTCAAGTGCCAGATCTGCCCCTACGCCAGCCGCAACTCCAGCCAGCTCACCGTGCACCTGCGCTCGCACACAGGTGGGGTTCTGCTCTGTGAGGGCTGGGGGTCACAGAGGTGATTTTAAGTCACTTATCAGTGGTCAGAGCCCCTAAAAGGGATGATTTGAGTTCCCAACGAGCACCCCTTCAAGTGCCAGATCTGCCCCTACGCCAGCCAGCTCACCATGCACCTGCGCTCGCACGCAAGTTTTTATCTAAATCCTGGCAGTGTCAGTTAGGGATGGGCAGAAATGTAAAGAAATACAGAGTAGACTACTCTTTGAACAAACAGAACCAGCATTTGCTATATTCTTTTTCATATATATTGTGCTACCCCGTATATGAAAATTAAGTCATTGAAATATGAACTGTGCCTTCATCAGCAAGGCAGATAAAAATTCAGTAGCTGAGTGTGCAGCTGAGGCTGTACAATAAACTAGATGAACAAACGGTGCATCTTCATTAATAAAGTCTGTTTAATACAGATAGTACACCATGTATCTCAATTATTAAACAGATACATGGATTAGCACAGTAGGCCACAACTTGATTTGAAAAATATTCTGTTAAAGCTATGACATATGTAGCTGGATAAGCAAATTCTGCAAAATTATACAGCTCTCACAAACTCGATAAAATATTAACTTCTAAAATAAATCAGCCATTTGCAGTTTGATTATTAAAGAGGATAAATGCTTGTTGAACTAAATACACTTTCTTTTTCCTCCTTTCACCAAGAGTTTCTTAGAACCTAACAACACAATTCTTACACTTCTTCAATATAATGCCTATCTAAAGAGTTCATCCTTGCGGATTTTAGAGAACTGTATTTTTAGGTTAAAGAAAGAAAAGGGAGCAGTTATTTAGGTTATTTAGTTGTTTTTTAGATTGCTAAGTTTGCTTTGGATTTTTTTTTAATGGCTTTAGAATACCTTCACTGGAATTGATTAGGGATTAGCAGAGCTCCACCTTAACATGGTCATGTTGTGACACCAGGCTGCAAATACAGAAAATGCAAAATAATGGGTTGGGATCTGAGTATGTCAGACCAGGTGATAATTCCATGTCACGAAATTTCTCTTGACTTTGAGGATGCGTTGGGAGCTCAGGACAAGGCAGCTGTGGTTCATCCCAGCAGCGTCCCCTGTGTAACCCACGGCTTCTGTTGGCAGGGGATGCCCCGTTCCAGTGCCAGGTGTGCCCCGCCAAGTTCAAGATCAACTCGGACCTGAAGCGGCACCTGCGGGTGCACTCGGGGGAGAAGCCCTACAAGTGCGAGTTCTGCGAGGTGCGCTGCGCCATGAAGGGCAACCTGAAATCCCACGTGCGCATCAAGCACAGCATGGAGAACACCCTCAAGTGCCCCGAGTGCGACTTCCAGTGCGGCAACAAGACCAGCCTGCGGCACCACATCCGCAGCCACCAGCCCGAGCAGCCCGTCAAGTGCTCCGAGTGCAGCTACTCGTGCTCCAGCAAGGCGGCCCTCAAGGTGCACGAGCGCATCCACGGCAAGGAGCGGCCCTTCAAGTGCGACTTCTGCAGCTTCGACACCAAGCAGCGCAGCAACCTCACCACGCACGTCCGCAAGGCCCACGGCGACAAGGCCAAGGGCAAGAAGCAAGACACGAAGGAAGGAGAGAGGCCAAAGCAGGGCGGCTCCAGGCAGGTCGCCAAGCTGGACGCCAAGAAGGCCTTTAAGTGCGACCTGTGCGAGGCGTCCTTCGTGCGGGAGGACTCTCTGCGCAGCCACAAGAAGCAGCACAGCCTGTACAACGGCTCCAAGAACAACGAGCTGGCCGTGCTGCAGCTGCAGATGGACGCCGGCCGCCAGCCCGGCGCCCCCATCGCCGTCAGCCACCTCCAGGTGCCGCTTCAGGCCGCCCAGGTGGCCCCGTACAACGAGGGCAGAGTCAAGATCATCGTGGGCCACCAGGTGCCTCAGGCCGGCGGCGTCGTGCAGGCCGCCTCCGTGAACGTGGTGCCCCCCGGGCTGCTGGGCGCGGGGCAGGAGGAGGTGCTGGGCAGCGGCCGCCTGCAGCTGCTGGGCCAGGTCAGCGTGCTGGCCCCGGCCGCGGTGGCCGCGGGCGACGCGGGGCCGGTGGCCGAGCCGGCCGTGCTGCTGACCGCCCACGAGCAGGCCGAGGGCAGCGCCCTGCTCCCCGGGGCCGGCCCCGGCCACGAGCCCCCCGCCGGCCAGGCCTTCATCGCCAGCTCCGGCATCAGCTGCTCCGACCTGGAGGGGCTCAACGCCCTCATCCAGGACGGGGCCACCGAGGTGACCGTGGTCAGCGACGGCGGGCAGAGCATCACCGTGTCCACGGCTGCTCCTCCTCCACCCATCTTCTCCTCCTCCTCCCACGCTGAGGGCCCCAAGCAGGGCTATTCCATCATCCAGAGCGGGGCTCATACAGCCCTGCTGTGTCCCGCTGACTCCATCCCCGATTAGGGCTGCTCTGGCACTGGGGCTGCTCTGGCATGAGGCTGCTCTGGCATGAGGCTGCTCTGGGCACTGGCACTGCTCTGGGCACTGCTCTCCCCTGGGGCAGTGCTGAGCCTGGCAGGAACACACAGCACACAGCTGAACGCAGGATTTGTCCTCCAGAGCCAAATATCTTCCCCTTCCACTCTGTGTTTGTCTGTACACTGAAGCATCTTGTGTGTGAGCGGGAGGATTTTTGTATTTCTGAGCCTCTGCTGCAGTCATAGGCCCTGCTCCTTGGGAAATCAAGGCAGCTGTTGCCAGTGTCCCCAAGCAGTGACACCCCCAAGAACAGTTCTTGTACTGTGCTGCCTGCAGGAAGAAATCCTTCCCTCGTGCTGAATTACCCCCACAGCAGCCTCTTTGTTTGATGCTCACCCAAAAAGACAATAACCTGAGCCCTTCTGCAGTTTGCTGGGCTGAGGTCTCTCAGTTCTGGGCTCTGAGTGCGTTCATGCCTGGCTGAGCCCCGAGGAGGCTCTGCTGCAGCCCAGGTAACTCCGGGGGGCTTCTCCTCTCTCTCTATGGGTAGGAATTGATAGCACCTGGCACTTGGAATGCTCCTGCAGAGCCCAGGTGATTGTTTTCAGAAAGTCAAAGAATGGTGTCCCTCTCTCAGTAGTAATTAACTTTGTTAGCAACAACACAAACCGTCTCTGGCGTGGTGATGGCTGTCAGAGGTGCCTGTGAGTTAAAAAGCAAAACAACTGGAAATATATTTTTTACAAACACCGCTTCCCTTTTGTTTTTATTTTGATGTTGCCTGTTGGGAGGTGGTGGGTTGGTGGTAGTGTTTTTTTGTTCTTTTTGTGTTAAAGGAAAAGATAGAATGTAATTTAAATTTTATTTAAAATCTTCTAATCCAAGGTTTTTCACTCCAGCAGAAATTCAGGTTGGAACGCAAGGAGATGGTAATACATTATTATATTTTTATTATTATATATATTTATAATAAGTATTATTCTATTTATCATTTATTATGGGAATTTTTCTGATGAATGAATTTCAGGCTGTATTTGGATTATGCAGTCGCCTGTGCAAAGGTACCACAAACTAAAAGCAGTTAATTTCCCCATCCTCGGGGAAATTAATCGCAGGCAGGGTTTCCTCACTCCCAGTGCTCCGTGTCATCCATAGGTGGTGCCAGAGGCCCAGGGAAGCTCTGGAGTGTGCTCTGGCTCCTGGATGATATCTCTTCTTTAAACATTTCCCCGTAAAAACTTTTCAAAAGTTAGCTTTTTGAGACCTCACCAAAAGCTCAGCTGCAAAAATAAGCTGCAGATAAAAAGAAATGCCCAAATTTTTCTGCAAGAAGCGGACCCGTGGCCAAAACGTAACCTCACAAATTATGTTAAATTGATAATATTTTGCTCCCTCATAATTAATTGTAGCCTGTTCATAGTTCCCAGCTGTACAGCTGTCGGGACTAGAGGAGTGATAAAACCCGAGGGATTTTGGCAAAGCTGCTGGTTTGAAGCAGCTTCTCTGTGCTTGCCCTTGGCCAGCAGTGTCACCTCCAGTGCATGTCACACTGCAGGTGCCACAGCTCTGCTGGCTGCGCTGCAGCTCTCAGAGAGCCTCCAGAACCTTCTCAAGGAGGAAACCAGCACATTTGTCATATTCTAGAGACCAACCTGGGTACTGGGCCTCAGAGATAAACAGGAAAGATAAGGCAGTGGTGTGAGTGAACAGACAGAGCTTCGTGCTGCTGCTCCAGCCTGCTTTGGCTGATTGCATCATGAGAACAATGCAGAGACTTCTTCCTCCACCCTGAGAAAAAGCCAGCTGAGAGCCAAGGCTGACACGGGGCAGTTCCTTTTCCATTTTCTCTTCAGTATTCTGGCTTGGTTTCTGTGTATGACAGTAATGGTCTGTGTGTTCTGGAGCTGGCAGGAGCAGATTGTTTTCATCTCTGATGTTCACTTAATACATTCTTCATGCTATCAGCAGAACCATCCCAGGAGGGAGCCTGGTAATTCAGAACAAGTGTCTCTTGTAGAGCTCTCCTGCTTCTGAGCACATGGTAAATAAATCCTATCCTTCCCTCCCCAGAGGTCTGCCACGGCCTCAGAGAGCTCTGGAGCAAACTGGTGCTTTCCAGGACAAAATATTGGGATGGGTTTTTATTCCTGCTGCCTGGAGATCCCCAAACTCCCCTGGTAAGTGCTGAGCCCAGGAGCAGAGCTCAGTGTTCAGTGCTGTTCACCCAACACAGCCCAGAGGGAGAGGAAAATCTGGATATCCCACCCAGCACAGCCCAGAGGGATCCAGAGGGAAGGGAAAATCTGGATATCCCACCCAGAGGGAAGGGAAGCTCTGGATATCCCACCCAGCACAGCTCAGAGAGAAGGGAAATTCTGGGTATCCCACCCAGCACAGCCCTGGCAGGCTCTGCTCTCTGCACAGGCTGTTCCCCAGGTTGCCCGTGGGTTCCCAGGTGTGAGTTGATGGTGTGTCACACCCTCCCTCCTCTCTGGGGATGAACTTCTGCCTGCTCAGAGATCTGAGTTGAACTGGGCAGGCAGAGGTGCAAAACCTGCGTGCATTTCCTCTAAAGCAGCCCCAGCTCCTGGGCCTTCCCAGCCCTTTGGGGTTTGTTGCTGTTCCTGACGCTGCTTTTCAAAGCCAGACCCAGCTGCACATGAGCTGATCCTCCAGCAGACCTGCTGAAATGTGCTTTTCTCCTGTGCTTTTGTGAGGCAGGAATACACCACAGGGAAGAAAGCTGAAGAAGAATGTGTTTGGACACCTTTGCCTGTGTTCTGGGGAGGCTGGTTCTGACTGAGCCCCAGCTCAGTGTCCCCAGTGGGGTTTGAACAGCACTGGATTAAACCTTATCGGTGGTGCTGTATCCTTTAGGTGGTTTTGATAAAAACTTAAACTGTTCTTTGCATCAGAATGGGAGATTGCTGCTCAAAACCAGCCTGGGGTTGTCCCTTGCACAGGGGGGATTCCTGGGGGAGTGGATGGCACCAAGTCCTCACCTCAGGTGAGGCCTAAAAGCAGCAGAATTTGGCCCAAAGCTGGCTCTCCTGGGAGCTGGGGGAAAACCAGACTCATACTGGATACATGTGGGGCTTGCTACTGAAAGATTGTAATCCAAATATTCCCCAGTCATTTTGGGTATGAGCTGTTTATTGCTGCTGTCATCTGACTGCACTGGAAAGCACCTTCTGTGTGGGGTTTAAAATGTCAGGGACATGCCAGGACATTTTTCTCTACATTACAAAGAACAGTGGAAAATCTTGCTGCTTTTTTTTTTTTTTTTTTTTTAAATTTAGACACCGTTATTTTATTCTTTTATGTTGTAAAATCATGGAGATCAGCCATTGATAGAACTTTAATTGTCTGGGGATGCTCATTCCTGATTCTTTATTTATTTGTGTTTGAAGTCAAAATACAGTCAGTCATCCTTTTTGCACTGTGCTGCTCTGGTGACTGCAAAAATACTTTCTGTGTCCTCAACGGCAAAACCTCTGTCCTATAATTTCAGGAATATCGACTGGCTACTCTAATGGCTTTTTACATCTCCAGTTGGAAAATCTTTAGCCTTGTTATTTAAATTTGAAGAAGAGAAACCAATATTGTTACAAGAAACTGATGTCTCCTGTCACTTACCCAGTGACCTTTCATGAGGTGATAAAGGTTTCTATAGTGACCTGAGGAAATGATGTCTCAGGTATCAGCGTGAATTAAAAGTCTGTGGCAGGAAAAGCTTTCTTTTCTCTGTCTCTCAGGTATCCAGTTCTGCCTTTGTCTTTATTCCAGTGGCTGGACATGGGGAAGGACTCATAAAACATCCAGGGTTTGGTTACGTGCTGTCTTTAGAGGCTTCACAATGTTGTAGGGAAGGACAAACGGCCATGGCAAACAGAGGTGAATTTTTTACAAGCTGTGTCCACGTTCAGGGTCTGCTGGGTGCCCCTGAATTCTGTACCCCGGGCTCAGGCAGTTTATTCCACAAGCCTCAGGAGCTGCTTTGCCTCTCTAAAACCAGAATTGTCATTGACTGCAGATTCAGCTTTGACAGAGCTGTTTTAGTTCCTCGATTCAAACCTTGTGTAAACTTTAATTCTGAAAGTGAAAGCTCTTGGCTAGTGAGAGTGGCTGCATGTTGTAGGTAAAAGTTGAACATGATCTGGGAATTAATTAACTGAGGGCCTGCAGAGTGTTTTGAGGTATTTTTATTTGGTTGTTGTGCTTTGGTTCGGTTTTATTTTAAAGACATGAGGATGTATTTCTGCCTTCTTGTGCTGCTGGGTGGAACAACCTGCCATCAATGTCTTCCCGTTTATCCAACCTGATGTGAGACACCTAAAAAAGCCTTGGAGAAACCTCCAACATTTTCAGCTTGAGTTTCCCGTTGGTGTCCTCCAAAGTGAAGGCAAGCTGATAAATCCTTGTGCTGTCAGGTTTGAAAGCAAGGCTGACCCTGCTCCCTGTTGCTCTGAGCTGTCAGAAAATTTTCCATCATTTTGCTCCCCAGGCCCTGGGCCGGCAGGGGCAGAGCACGGCCAGCCCTGAGCCCTCCCCTCCTCTGCCTGCTGGTTGTCTTTGCACTTTCTAGATGTCAGACTGAAGGAAAAAATCCTCCCCACACCTTTTCCTAGCACAGCTCACAGCTTCCTCGTCCCAAAGTGGGCTGCACTTAGTGCCATGATTAATCACTGCCCATAATTCGTGATTGTGTCAGGAATATCAGCTATCATCCCATCAGTGTTTGCACTGGGGCTGTGCTGCTGGACTCCCCACCTGCAGAAGGTTCCCCCAGAAGGAGATTGTGAGGATGGGAATAACTTGGATACCTCAGTGATGAGCGAGATGCAAATTCCCAGCTAGATCCTGGAGATAGGCACAACTCCTGATGGCCCAGAGGAAAACCTGAAAGAACAGGAATGCATAAAGCTCAGCTGCATAATGCAGAGCAGTCATAATTAATAGATTAAAGTTCTTTGTGAAACATGTTTTTTTATTCTAATAAA